GGGGAGGAGTTTAATTTTTCCGGTATAAGATAAGGAGGATTAGAGAACACTTAAACAGCTGTACTACGTGATCAGTGTGGGCAAAGGGAGAAGAAATAATCTGGATGATTCTGATCTTCATGCTTGCCTGTTTTCGTCTCTAATTTCATAACAATACATACACAAAAGCTATTTTAAAGCTATAGCTCTGTACTTTCCTACTTTTCCTTTTTTTTAAACTTTTTGTTTTTTGGTTTGTTTGTTTTTTATTTCCTTTTGTTTTTCTTATTTTAAAAACGTGGGGTACAATTCAGGATTACGTATATAAGTGGTCTTCATATAGGTAAAGTTTGGGCCTCCCTTTGGCCCTCACCTCACCTGGTTTGAGATCAGGTACCCTTATTGATGTTATGTGCCCCCACTCCTTCCCCAGGCAGTTTCTGGCTACTGCCAATCCCTTTCTTATAGTATTGTGGAAAATGTTCAGGGTCTACTTATGAGTGAGAACATGTGGTACTCAGTTCTTTGTTTCTGTGATAGATCACTGAGTATGATAGACTCTAAATCCATCCATGTTGCTGCAAAGTCCTTCTTTATGGCTGTGTAATATTCTATCATGTATATGTACCACATTTTTTTTTAATCCAGTCCAGTTTCAACAGGCAGCACGATTGGTTCCATATGTTTGCTATTGTGAATAGTGCTGCAATAAACATGCGTGTGCAGGTATCTTTTTCATAGAATGACTTGAGAATCAACATTGTTAAGATGTCCATCCTACCCAAGGCAATCTATAGATTCAATGCAACACCCATTAAATTGCCAACATCATTCTTCTCAGACCTGGAAATGGCAATAAAGAAATTCCTGCTTCTCCTTGTTTCTGTCACAGGGCCTGTGTTTTACTAGAAACATGAAGCTACGTGGCAGATTCCTGCCCCTCTCGTGGTATCCACCTGCTGACAGTGGGCCCTGAGAGCTCAGCAGGCCTCCTTCTGATGCTGAGTTTTGGGTCTGCTCCCTGGCACATTTGAGATTTGTTTCAGGATGTGCCACAGCTGAAGTTTCTGCAGCCGTTGCAACATGGGACAACCACACCAGAGGCTTTCCTCTGGCAGTGACTCAGAGGCTTTCCTCTGGCAGTGACCCCCCGACTAACCGAGGCTGTGGTTGGAACTCCACAGGACGGTGGGTGGGGACAGCAAACAACTTGAGACCTGTGGCCACAGTTGCTGTGGTTGAATGTTGTGATAGTGTGTGCATGAGGGGACACGAGGGGCAGTCCAGGATAATTTTTTTTTTTTGAATACACAACTATCCTGTTAAAAGCCGTCCCACTCCTATTTTGCCTTTTTGTATTGCAGCACTTCTAGTTGGGCTGCCCGGGAAAGCTGCGGCTATGACTTGCCTTCACTGTGATAAGAAGGAACTCCCCTCCAACTGCAGAGTGTCCCGTGGCTGCTTCATTTATTTCCTAATTAAACTAAAATGGCAGAGGTTTGAGTATCAGAATGGCTGTATCAGAGGACACACTTCCTGCCAGTTCTGTCGGTTGAGATGGACCCATGGTCCCATGTAGGCTTTGGTTCCAGGAGGGAAGTGGCAGCAAACACCATACCTGGCTCCCTTTGGGGGTTCCACAACCCCCCGAGTTCCCAAAGGCTCCGCATCACTCACAATCCAGAGCACACTCAGGATCCTTCCACTATTATCATTCTCAAAAACCACCAAACTGTAAATACAGGCCTCACTCAACCTAAAACCTTCTAGTGGCAGGCTGCTTTTTGTCGTTAAGCCTCATGTTCTCTGTGTGTGTGTGTGTGTGTGTGTGTGTGTGTGTGTGTGTGTGTGTGTGTGTGTGTATCTATATGTGTAATGTCTGTATGTACACTATATATACAAGTATGTCTTTTTTAAAGCACTCTCCCTGCCCTTTTTCAAAGATGCCTGGTCCTGGCACTGTCCAACACTACAAACTTGGCAGTTTCCTTCCCTTGGTGTCTTAGAACTTGCTCCCAGATCCTCAATACCTCCCCATCATCTGGCCGCACGAGAGTAAGACCTTGACTAACTTCAGGTTTGCTTTTTTCCTATTTCTTCAAGGACAACATAGCCTCATATCAAGAAGCAAACCCTGTCCACAGCCAAACTTTCACAGAGGTGATGGTGACCTGTTGAGTTCAGGGACTTTCGGCTCATTTCCTGCGAGGTCGTTCCCTCAAGTCCTCTTATGCAATGATCGAGCCTCCACTGATCATCACCACCTGGATTTTCACTTCCATCAGGGTGTGTCTGTCACACACCACATTCATTAGGTGGAATTCTATGTATGAGTAACTTTCATATACTGTTTTCCCTATGGAACAATTTTTAAAGAATAATCAAAAAAAGGATGAAGTGCTTCATTCTTCTCATTAACTTATCAGTTTTCAAAGTAATGAGATCATAACCTAGAAACCTCCACAAGTCACCAAGGAGGTGTGTGTGTGTGTATGTGTGTGTGTGTTCATGAACACACAGATTTGCATATACTTATATGTATGTATTTATTCACTATTTGCTTTGATGTTCATATGGCCTTATTTTAGGTTCGTGGTTGCTCCTTAATATCACCCTCCTGTTTTTGTAATATGGTCCATTCAGCTTTGAGAGGTTCCTTGATTCTGGATTAAGATGATCCAGGTTTGTTCTACATATTTCCTGCCCCAGACCTGGATTCAGCTACGTCTCTTTAGTGAGACACAGGGCTGAGACCACAGTCTGGGCAGCTGGTGTACTTACTGCCCCCAAGGCGCCATGGTTTCAAGGACTTTTCAATGGAAAGTGGGAAATATATAATTTTTTGATAGAGAAAATTAGTTATGAGTTTATACAAATATTTTAAAATCCAATTTAACAAAGGTTTTGCTTAATTTCTTTAATGTTATACTTGTTTCCCATTTTCCCTTAACAGTGAATATCTTGATTTCTAAAGAAACATAAATACATATATTTTGCTATAACATAGTATTCTATATATAATAGATTCAAAATAACACCACCAACATTATAATTTTTCTTACCATAGATTACATTTCCCAAATGATATAAAGTCAATATACTAATTTTGAAATTCACTGAAAATAAGTATACATCCTTTGTGTAGTTATGCCACTACTTGATATTTAGTTGGGTTAAAATATTTGTTTTCAATGTTTAAAGGAAGGCTTTTGTTTTCTATTTAATTCTGATTTTCAATTATGTAAAATATTTACAGGGCCCAAGATCAAAACTAATTAACAAGGTATTCACATAAATTTTATCACCATACCTGAATGAGTATGCACTGTTGGTGATAATTGGTACAACTTCTATGGAAAACAATATGGAGATTTCTCAAAGAACTGAAAATACAACTACCATTTGACCCAGCAATCCCACTACTGGGTATCTACCCAAAGGAAGTCAGTATATAAAAAAGACACCAGCACTCATATGTTCATTGCAGCACTATTCAGAATAACAGAGTCATGGACCCAACTTAAGTGCTATCAACAGATAACTGGATGAGCAAAATGCAGTATAGACACACCATGGAATACTGCACAGCTGTAAAAAAAAAAAGCATGAATCATGTCTTTTGCCGCAATAGGGTTAGAGCTGGAGGCCAAAACCTCCTAAGTGAGTTAACTCAGAAACCAAAAATCCCACACTGCATATTTTCACTTACAAGTGGGAACCAAACAATGGGAATACCTGGACATGAAGATGGAAGTGAGAGACACTGAGGCTCCAGATGGGAGGAGGGAAAAGGTTGAAAACTACCTGCTAGGGATGACGTTCACTGTCTGGGTGACGGCCACATTAGAAGCCCATGCCTCACCACCATGCAACATGCCCATGTAACAAACCTGCACACACGCCTCCAAATCTATGACAATTTAAAAATTGTATCTCCATATCTGTCTACTCCTCTGTTCCCTCCCTCTCACTCTAGGTGACTATTTCTAATATCTGTAATACTTTCTGTGATGTTTGTATGTTTATGTGTATTGTTCTAAGTCCTGTTTTTTTTAAATATGTCCTGGTGGTCGGATGATATCCAGACAGAGATATTTTGCTCATTCCTTATCCATAGTATCTTCAACCAATCCCTTATCAATGAGTTAAAAAAAAAAAAAACTTTGGATGCATTTTTAAATGCGGGCTTGTTCAAACAAAGAACAGATGCATTTATAACTTTGCTAAATAAGGGGCATCCTTTTAAGCATGTTAATCTTGCCACAAAAATGTAAAAATGTTGAAAAATATGTCATTACAGGAAAAAAATTATTTCACTGGAATGTTCATATTTAATCCAGAACAATTTATTAATGGAATTGAAATTATTAAATGTAGGCATGATTCCTGACTTAATATAAAGAAACACCTTAAACATTACAAAAATTTTAGCAACCTAGGGGTCTCCAATCCATTATGTCATATGAAACAATATAACAACAGGAAAACTTGTAATAACCATCTGTCTGTATGTCTACACAAACATATACATGTAAGTGGAGATAGACAGGTATAGATTAATAAAGCAATAGATAAAGGTATCTTTTTTTCCCAAAGAAGGACATTTCTGATTTTAATAAATTGACCAGTTTTTTAGTTCAGTCAAAAAAGTTATTATCTTCTAAATAAACCCCCTTATTCACTCCTCACACTGCAATCTAATTCAATAAAATGGGAACACTGGTATTAGCATCTACATAACAGCACTGGGAATATTGTTTAAAGTGCTGGTGACGACTTTGTCTTTTGGGGCCTAAAATATAATGTAAATTTTAAATGTAAAATGAAACTTAGTTGCGAGTCCTTTTTTATTAAATGCTCAATACATTAAAAGCACATGATTATACTGTCTCGTGCTGTTTGGGTTACTATTTTCTTTTGAAGTCAGGAACAATAACCCCAAGAACTGGGTGAGTCATATTTGCTTTTACATATTACACATGGCAAGAATTCAATCTTACAAACAGTTGAACAGTAAACGAAAAAGGGTAGATTCACATTTGAATAGCAGGTAGTTATGTATTAAAAAAAAACACAGAAAAAAGTGACTTGTATCGATAAAAGCTGCTGAATAAATCACTAGTGACTCATTTCCGTGTGCTGCCCTATTACTCTTCAGATCTAACCACAAGGCAAGTAAGTGTCCACGAGATGACGAACAAAAACATGTTTAAAATTGCTTCTTCTGCATTTTCCGTCTTCTATTGGCAAAGAGAAGCTTTGGCACCTTCGTTTTCTTCTTCAAGACTAAAATCAAAAAAGTAACAATTAAAATCATCCACCTCTGGTCTGCTGGCCCACTACACATCACCGTTTCTAACAGGCCCCGTCACCTTATTAATGATGGTAAAGTCAGTTAAACTGGTGACACACGCGGTTAATAACATCTTTCCTCTAGAATATGAGGACACAGCCACTGTCTACTGTGGCTTGCTGGGGAAGGCATTTTGACAAAGCCAAGGGGCGCCGAGGGTCTATTTATGTAGAAGTGGCCTCAATACGGCTACTTGTAATAAGTAACAATGAGTGCATAAAAATATAATTGTGCTGATGAATCACGTATGCAGCTCGTCTAACAGCTGGATAAGAGAGAACCGTCTACCTTTCACACAGGCGTGTCTACAGTCCTTACTGCTGACAAAGTTGTTGTCATTCCCCCCACAGCCAGTGTAGGTGAAGGCTTCACAGTCTCCGTATCTCGGGTTGAAATAATAGCGAGTCACATTCGCAGAGCACAGCCCCTCATCTTTTGGGCTGTAGCAGAATGATGGACCTTTATAAAATAGAAGACAAAATGACAAATGCTATAACACAAGAATTTTTAAAACTGTGGTGATTACTGAAGGAACTGAAAAGAATCCAATCCCATGGATGCCTCATGCAGAGTCCAAAATATCATATTCAACCATTTCAAAAGGTCTTCCTCAAAGTGCAGGCATGCGTCCATGCTATATTTTAGAGATGCTAAATTCTGATAAATGGTATAGAATTTATTGTGAAGCCGTGTCTTTGTATTCTTTAAATGTAAAAAGAAATTAAACCCCCAAGCCAGGTATGGTCAGGTAAAGATGGGCTAAGTTTCAAGGATAATGTATGCTTTGGTACACTTTTTTTGCATTGGTAGTTGTATTTTAAACGTTTTCATCAGCACTTTTTCTATTACTAATCAAGAATGCATGCATCTAATTTCCAAGCAACCACTGAAACAAAATAGTTACATCCTCACAAACTTAAGAGGACACAACAGCGGTCATGTCCCCGCTAATTCAAGATTTTGCATTTTCAGTATTGTATAGGTACAGAGCTTCCCTGCAAGCTCGGCCAAAGCACATTTTCCTTGTTTGTGGAATTATTTTTATCCGTGTGTCTCTGGTGTGCTTGGAAGAAACGCCTGTATTGTCTCCCATTGCAAATACTGAACACCCTCCACAAAGCCTATCGTTCCAAGGTGGGGGTGGAAGTAGGCCAGGAGATACAAGGAGAGGAGAGAACAGCAGTTCAGAGCTCCATGAGCTGCAGTGGGCGACTACTGAGCTGCTGAGGTCTAGTCACACACTCTGGAAAGACCTTTTCAAGTCTCTCCAACTTAATTTTGCACGGATTCTACCATCTCAGATAAATAACTGATTCCATACAGACCTGAGGTCATCACATTCATTAGTGAATTCTGTCGTGTTTTATGTGTAATTGAGCAGTTGAGACAGAGTTTTAGAGACACCATGCAGAAGAGGCAGCAGGGAAGGATCTGACCATGGCTTGTCCCTTTCCAGTCCCTGAGGCAAGGATCTGACCATGGCTTGTCCCTTTCCAGTCCCTTTCCAGCCTGAGGCAGCAGGCAAGGATCTGACCATGTCTTGTCCCTTTCCAGCCGCTGGCTTGGTAAGAAATGTGAGACCACATTGCCTGAGCCCGCGGATTCAAGACCAGCCCGGGCAACTTGGCAGGACCTCGTCTCTACAATAAATCAAAAATTAGCCAGGTGTGGTAGTGCGCATCTGTAGTTCTGACTACTTAGAAGGCCGAGGCAACATAATTGCCAGAGTCCAGCAGGTCAGCACTGGAGTGGCCGTAGCATGCCACTGCACTGGAGCCTGGGTGATGGAGTGAGACTCCAACTCAAAAAAAAAAGAAAGAAAAAAAAGAAAAAGAAATGTGAGATCATGAAGTGAGGACCATGGTCATTTCACATTAGACTGAGGTTGTTCACTTGGATTAATACAGAAAGAAAATGGAAATGCCAGAGAAATCATATTTACCTTTCTTTGGTGCGCAGAAGCCCATACAAGTAGCTTCATCAGGAAACCGGTTCTTGTTCCGGTTCTGGCGACACCCACTGGAGAGCCTCTCGCAGGTCATTGAGCGCAAGTTGAAGAAGTATTCTTCCCGGGGCTCCCTGCACTGGGTGCTGGCGACTTCCAGCCGGCAGATTTTGGGAACAACTAGGAAAAGGAAGGTAACAAAACAATGTCACAGGCAGCCTTCTTGGATGCTCAAGCGGTTAAGTCTGTTAAATTTTCACTGTTTTCAAAAACCATAGGGGAAAGTACTCAGATCTAGTGCTGGGATCATAAATCCCAAAAGGCTGCCCCTCCTGCAGGGACTTGGCTTTCTTTCCTGACAGTCTTTACAGCTGTCTCAGCCAGCAGTCCTTCACGGTCAGTGGAGGCTCTGGATCTCTGAGGTGTCTGACTGCTTCTACATGTGAAGCTAATCAAAGCCCACTCCCATGACATACCCTATCCCCTGGCTCGGTTCCCGGGATGGCAAAATCCTGTGCTCTGTCACAGACCTTAACACATAGAAGAAAAATTTAAAAATAAGGGGAAATGGAACACAGCCTTGTGATTCGCCACCATATCCCAAAACTAGCCCAGGACACATTTGGGCCTCAGGGGACAAAGGTGGCTAAGTCACACTCCTGTCATAAGACCCATGAAAGGACTTCAGGCCAACGGATGGTCCACAGGAGGAGAGGGCGTCCACAGGGACAAGGCAAAACCGTAGTGCAGAAGCAGGAAAAAACACGAAAGCTTTTGTGTGGCACCTGCCGCATGACCCCTGCCTCTGTCACAACCCAAGGCAAAGGGAGGGGTTTCCCTGAGCCACCTGCACTGACTCTCAGGAGGGAGGACAGAGCAATGGTTATGAGCCCCTGATCACCTCAGAGGCCTGAAACCCAGGGATCTTAATGCTTCAGAAAACACAGCTGGACTTTCCAGGCAATCACTCTTTCTCCTGCAGCAGGGAGCACTCACCTCCCTCCTCCAGCCAGGAGCACTCACTCTACATCCTCCAGCCCTGAGCACTCTCCACCCTCTAGCCCTGAATACTCATTCTCACTCCTCCAGCAGGAGCACTCACTTCCCTCCTCCAGGCAGGAGCAGTTTCTGTCTTCCAGCCCTGAGAACTCACCTCCCTCTTCCAGTTGGGAGCACTCTCCATCCTCCAGCAGGTAGCACTCACTCTCCATCCTCTAGCCCTGAACACTAACTCTCCCTCATCCAACAGGAGCACTCACCTCCCTCCTCCAGACGGAGCACTTTCTTTCAGCCCCAAGCATTCACCTCACTCCTCCAGTGGGAAGCACTCACCTTCCCTCCTCCAGCCTCAAGCATTCATTCCCCTTCCTCAGTGGGAGCACTCACTCTCCTTCCTCCAGTAAGAGCACTCACTCTAAATCCTCCAGTCCCAAGCACTCACTCCCCCTCCTCCAGCGGGAACACTCACTATCTATCCTCCAGCAGGCCTCTTCACAGGCTGCCCGGGACTCGAAGTTGTTGGCGTTGCCGTAGCAGCCTCCGAACATGAATGGGCGGCAGCTCTGTGTGTGCCTGTCATAGTAGTAGCTGGGAATCCTGGCGCGACAGGGGCCCTCGTCCAGGGGCAGGAGGCAGACCTCCGCGTTGTTTCCTGGGGAGGCAGAGAGAGCACAGGGAGGTCAGATCTCCTGGGAGAAAAAACGGTGCCAGAATTCGTCCTGCCGCTTCCCAGGGAGCGGCCTCTGCCGCGGGAAAGTGCCTCCCGGCCGGGAGGGCATGGGGGTTCGCGGGGCCCAGGGTCTGCCGAGAAGGCGCCGGCGGGGAGAGCTCCAGCCGGCCGGTACCTGCGGGTGCTTGGGGGGCACCGCTGGGCGCGGCCCCCATCAGCAGCGGCAGGAGCAGACACAGTGCCTGGACGGGGTCCATGGCGCCGGGCCGGAAGGGTGCGAGTTCTGGGGCTCGACGGTTGCGGGAGGCGTTCTTCTCTAGGCGTGCGCCCTCTCCTCTGGGGATGCGCCCTTTTGGCGGGGTGCAGGTCCCGTCTGGGCCCGGCTGCGGCGGGGCTGCGCGCTTTAAGGGTGCGTGTGTGGCCTCCCCCGACGGGCGGGGCGGCCGGGCTGATTCACGCCGGCTGCGCCCCCGTCGCCCCCGCCCGGCCCAGCGCAGAAGGAAGTCCCCACCGAGGTGAAGAGTTGAGCCCGCCTCCCTGCTCCCTCCCAACTTTCCCTTGCACCCGCGGGATGCGGAGGGGCTGGTGACGGGAAACCGGTGGCGGGAGAAAAGCGACCCGCGGACCGCGGCGCTGCCGGGAAGCTGAGTCCACGGCCGGAGAAGGCCTGAGGATCTCGACTGCGGACCCTTCAGATCCGCATGGGAGGCCATGCTGTCTAGCAGCATTGACACACAGAGATTTCTTTTCTTTTCTTTTCTTTTTTTTTTTTTTTTGAGTAGGAGTCTCACTCTCTCGCCCAGACTGGAGGGCAGTGGCCGCTCCCTCCCACCGCAGCCTCGACCTGCTGGGCTCCGGCGATCCTTCCGCCTCAACCTTCCGAGTAGCTGGAACTACAGGCGTGCACTACCACGCCCGGCTAATTTTTTGATTTATTGTAGAGATGTGGTCTCGCCTGCCCAGGCGGGTCTCGAACCCGCGGGCTCAGGCCATCCACTCACCTCAGCCTCCCAAAGGCGCGGGATTACAGGCTGAGCCACTGAGTAGTAAAAGGCGCTCGACACGCCTCAAGCACAGCGATTGGAGGCGGTGCCTCTGCCTCTCCAGGCAGCAAGGAGAACCTCTCACCCCAGAGGTTCCCTGGACCCTCCCGTCAGTCCCCTTGCGGCCACCGCGGGGCTCTTCTGGCTTCCGTCTACTACGGGCTGGTTTATCTGTGCTGGAATTGCACCTTGTGGATGGAGTCCGAGTATGTGCACCGTGTGGTACTTCTCAGGAACGATTGTTTTGGGATCCATCCACTTCACCGTGCATATCAGCCGTGTGTCCTTTAACCCCTGGGAGGTAGTCCCAGGTATGGATGCCCCTGATGTGATACTGTCTGTTCCTTTCATCCCGAGTGACTGAGGTAGCCGTGTTGTTGGTATACCCTGCACTGGGCCTCTGTGCTGTTTCCAGTTTGGCACTGTTGTGGATAAAGCTGCTTGTGTAGATTCGCAACATCTATTATTCTCGAATGAAATACCCAGAAATACTAGAAACTGCCTGAAGGTTTTTGAAGTGATGCCTGATCTTACACCCCACAGGGGTGGTGGTGGTGTTTTTGGAGATGAAAGGGGAATCAGAGAGTAGTTGCTGGGTCAGGGCTTTGGCCGGGTCTGCCCCCTCTGCACATACTTTAACATCTTACAGCTTTAAAGTTCACTCCTTTGGCAGTTTAGCCTGTGACCTTTTTTTGTACAAAAACTGACAGTGAAATGTTACGTGAAATATTCAGTATCTTTTAGATGAACATTTTAATGGGTTCCCAATGAACTGTTTCCCTCTCTCCCCTTTTCTTCTTGTTCTGTTCAACATTCTCCAGGAAAATGGTCATTCTTCTCTTGAGGACACTGTGGAGTTTACAGGAGTTTCTCTCTCAGGTTTCTGGGAAGTCCTGAAAAGTGCAGGACACTTACTCACAGCAGGTTAATAATCTGGGATATTTGGCACATTGTACTCCTTGGGCCGGTTTCAACCATCCTGATGTCATATTATAGAGTCTCATTCCTACGAAACCTAACTTGATCTGGAAATGCTGTGATTAAGAGTGACAGTTGCAGCCCTGAGGGTGAATGTTTAACCACCAGCACTCCCAGAGGGAAAAGGGGATGTGTGTGTGTGTGTGTGTGTGTGTGTGTGTGTGTGTGTGTGTGTGACTGACTCCCACAGTGTGAGCTCTCCTGGAGGTCCGCTTCACAATGCCGCTGCAGGAACACACCCATTATTCTTTAGAACCTGAACTGGTGTGGGCGCTGGCCCACCTACCTTTGAGCAGCCAGTCGGTTTCGTCAGAGAAGAGTCGAATTCGATCCTCCCAGTCCTTTTGAAAGATTTTTAGGGAAGGGACATTTTACCAGTTATTTAGCCAGGATCATGTCCAGGAGAAAAAGTTGACTTGGCTTCAAACCTCCCTATTCCCATTCTCCTGAATATGGTCAAATGTATCTCTAAACTGTACTCCAGCAACAGTCAAGGACTGATTCTTTGTCACAGGTGTCCTTCTGCAATTACTTCTGTCATTTTTCTCTGTTCTCTGCAACTGGACACTTTGGATTATCTTTTGCTCACATAGAAAGATGCGTCTTTTGAATCAGGCAGATGCTTCTGGAACATGCATGGTGCAAGGAAGAGGTTGAACTGGGAGTCTTGGGAGAGCTGGGCTTTACTCCCTGCTACTGCTACTGTGGGTGAGTTCCTTAAAACTCTCTATTTCCATTTCCTTCCCTAATAGACACCATAACTCTTTCCAGATGCATGATGAGGATTCAACAGAAAGTCCCTGTGTACCATCCAAGAGATTGTCTCAGCCCCCTACACATGGGCACAAAATCCAACCGGATCATCTGTACCCCAGTTCCCACGGAGATCCTGAGCAGCCCTGAGAGAGTGTTACCCCCACCAGGAGGCAGCAACGTGAACGGGCCTTTAGAACTGATCCTGTAGCCTCACTCCTTCAGCTTATCTCCGTGGCCATGCCCCTAGGCTACCTCCTACTCAGGAAGGTGTCACCCCAGTCAGATGTCATTTTGTGGTTGTCTCTTCCAGGGGAATGAGCTTCGGGGGCTCTCAGCCAGAGCAGAAGACAGCCCATTCAGGGCTGCTGTGTGAGGCATGGAGAGGGTGAAGAGGACAAGCCGACCTCCCCCTTCTGTGGTGGAGTCTGTAGACTCAGGTTGAAATGGTGCACAGAGAGGTGCTCCAGAAATGCCAGTGTCCTCTTTTTCTCTGCCAAATGGGTGCATCATTAAAACCTGCACAACTGATAATAAAAAAGCATGGCATATACACAATGGAATATTACAGTCATAAAGAAGGACAAAATTATGAATTTCACAACAATTTGGATGGACTTAGAGTCCATCATACTCAGTGATCTATCACAGAAACAAAGAACTGAGTACCACATGCTCTCACTCAAAAGCAGACCCTGAACATTTATCATAATACTATAAGAAAGGGATTGGTAATAGGGACACTGCCAGGGTGGGGGTGGGGGGCACACTTCATCAATAAGGGTACCTTATCTCAAGCCAGGTTAAGTGGGGACCAAAGTGAGGCCCAAACTTTACCTATACAATGACCATTTGTATACCTAACCTTGAATTGTACCCCACATCTCTAAAATGAAAATTTTTAAAAAGCAAAAACAAAAAACCTCCACAACCGCTGATGGGGGAAGGAGTATTGAACAAGTGGGATTGTCAGAAGTTTCAGATTGTAAAGCCAGGTCACAATGGAAACAAAGAAACAAACAAAAAATCTCCTCTTAAATTCAGAACACTTGAGTGTTTTATATTCTTGAAAAAGACATCTTCCAACTTAAGAGGAATCAGAACTTCCTAGGGACTACCTTGACCTTGCTGAGTTTATACTTAGGGCATCCTGGAAGGAGCAAAGTGACTCCCACAATCAGCCTCCAAAGGGATGTCACAGCACTTCCATCCGCTGAAGCCCATGTCTCTGCCCAAAGATCACCATGGGACTGAGGAAAAGAGTCCCTGGGTCTAAAATCAGCAGGCAGTGCAAGACTGGAGGTGACCAGGAAGCAGCCACCCAGGTGGCCTCGCCGGTGCTGCACCAAGTGAGTGGCACTGATTGTGGCTCCAGACAGAGGCTCAAGAAGCCTAGAGCCCATAAAAATGAGGTGTAGACGTCCCATCACTGGCATGACGAATGGAACTGCAAGGATAATCATTTTACGGTGTGAGTAGACACCTGGAAATACACGGTGTCTGGCCATGTTTACTTTCCATGGGTGTGGGCTGAGCTGAGACCAAAACCCACAGCTCTGGACTCTTAGCCCTGTCTTCTTTCCACTGCACTGAGGCCTAAGATCTTTCAACTGCACCAAGACCTAGAGTAGAACACGAAATACCAGAATTAAAAAGCATGTAGCCACAGGGAGCCCAGGGGCAGCTCTGCATGTGTCAGATCATGGTTTCTGATCTTCTCACCCTCACCTTTGCCCCACATGAATGGACATGAAGTTGCTCTGGAACATGTAAGCCCCTCCCAAGCCTGGACTTCCTCTATCCTCTGAGAGCCCCACAGGCTTGGAGGGTGACCGGGAGTCAAAGGATGGCAGGGAGGCAGGTGGTTATCTTCACCATCAGGCACCTTAGGGAGAGGTGGCATGTCGGACTCATGAGTGATGGCATTTGATTGAGCCTGTGATCTGGGAATGCATGTTACAGAACATAGCCATTTAAGGAGTTGCACAAATAATGCCTTAATAAACTCGGAGAGTTCTTGCTGCCTGTTGGTTTAAGGCCTGCCAACATAAACCCTGAAATGGGTCCAACTGGCACGAACTAATACACATGCCTGCTAAGAAAGGCAGCTGACCTCTCCTGAGAGGTAACTGGCATGAGGGTTTTGCTCAAGTTTGGGCAATTCCTCCACCAAGAGGCTCCGTCCGACCTGGCTGTGTGGGCCGAGGCAGCGTGTGCTCGGATGCGCCCTCTACACCTGAGAGCGGTCGTGAGGAAAGACAGTCCTGTGAAAGGATCCCTGCCCAGCATTCCTATTTTCCTTCTACTTAGAAAGAGAGACGTAGTGGTGGTGTGGACAGTGTTTCTCGCTGTGGTCATTTTTCCACTCACCTAGTCAACAATGAACTGATTCAGTGTGACAGACTGAGGGAGCACATTAGGGATCTCGTAGTATGCAGGGCTGACAGATGAACTACAGCCCAGCCACAATATCGTGTCTTTAA